GAGATGTCGGACATTGTAAGATATGACAAAATAATTTCTAAATTATCAAGGGTTCATGAGGGAGGGGGGAGTGGGGAGGGATGCTGGAAAATGAGCTGATATCAAGGGCTCAAGTAGAAAGAAAATGTTTTGAGAATGATGATGGCAACAAATGTACAACTGTGCTTGACACAATGGATGGTTGTATGGATTGTGATAAGAGTTGTACGAGCCCCCAATAAAATTATATATATATATATATCTCAAATAATTTTTAAGTTGCTATAAGGTTTGGTTTTTCCATCTCAAAAGTTTGTCAGCCCCTGCTATTGGGGAAGATCTTTTCATTTACCAGCTTCTGGTAGACCTAAGTGTTCCCTGGCTTGTGGCAGCGTAATCCCAACCCCTGCTTCAGTCTTCACATAGCAGTCTTTCCTGTCTCTGTATCTCTTGTAATGACACCAGTCCAGTTAGGGTCCACCGTACTCCAGTCTGAATACAATACAGCTTTTAAATTCTTACTACCAAATAAGGGCACATCCACAAACTTCACCTTTTGTGAGGTGTGGGACACAATTCAACTCAAAACCAATATAGTGAGCCTCAAACTTATTGTGGTCTTTGGAGTTGTGAAGTCTTTTAATTGATAACAGCTCTTGGGATGTAATTGCAGACATTGCTCTCAGGTTTGCAGCAAGTGAAGTTGAGAATGAACAGTTAGGAACTGAGAGCCTGGTGTCTCATGCTTAGACAAGTGGCTATCTAGGATTGCCAAGGTCTTTTATTTTTTATTAATTTTTAAAAATAGACCTCAAGGCCTGTTCAATATCAAAATAAATCTTCATGAGTTCCTGATGAATTAATTTTAAATTCTAGCCCTTGTTGATAAAGAAAAAAAAAAGGTGGTCTTGATTTTGATTCATTCCTTACACATCAAGTGAGTGCGGTCTTAACATCGAGTTTTACTCGACAACATTGGAGAAAAGACTGAAGTTGTCATTGATTTCATTCAATGCTCACGGAAGCAACAGTCCAATCAATGTAGTCCCATCAGGGAAATCTGCACAGCTTCTTTAAAGTGTTGACGAGCAAAGAGGTCATTTTGAGGACCACAGGCCCCCAACCATGGTATTTTCCATGGCCTCAGATGCACGTGAGAGCTGGACCATGAATGAAGAAGACTGAAGAAGCGTTGCTGCGTTTGAATGACGGTGCTGGGGAAGAATGCTGAAAGCACCCCGGGCTGCCGTTCGAACAAGTAAGTCTGTCTTGGAAGAAGCACAGCTGGAATGCTCCTTAGAAGAAAGATCGCTGGGGCTGTGTCTCATATCTTTTGGATGTGTTTTCAAGAGAGACTACCCCTGGACATGGACAGCATGCTCGGTAACATAAGGATCGGTCAAAAAGAGGAAGACCCTCGTCATGGAGATGGATTCACACAGTGGCTGGAACGATGGGCTCAAGGAAAGCAATTGTGAGGATGGCGCAGGACTGGGCAGTGTTTCGTTTGTTGACAGGGTTGCTATGAGTCCGGACAGACTCAAAGACACTGACCTTAACACCAAATATATAGACCGCCTGGAAGGTCTACTCCACTTACATCCACTGGGTCAGTGGGGGAGGTGGGGAAGGGAAATTCCCTGAAGGCTCACTCAAAACACCTGGCACCTCATCAGAAAGGAATCAAAACAGCTTGGGGCAGGACCAGCTTGAGGCTCCTCCCTGCCTCCGTTCCCATGTGACTACGACTTCGGGTTGAAAACTCTATCCCACCTTCCTCTACACAGTGATTGCAGTTCTCTTCCATGTTTACTCTTTTAGTACCAATTCTTCCCTTTAAGGGGTAGTTGTTTCCTTAGTTATCATTTACATTCAATAAACTATACCCACTTCTCTGAGAATATCCAAGTAGTCACCACCACAATCACAACATAGAACATTTCCATTACCTACAGTTTCCTTGTGTCCTTTGCCATTGACCCCGACCCATGACCCCAAGTAACCACTGACTTGCTCTGTTACTGCAGCCTTTGCCTTTTCTAGGGGATGGTGCAGGACTGGGCAGGGCTTCATTCTGCTGAGTTGGAACGGAGTGGCAGAACCGAGTGGAGAGCACCTAACACTTACCCACTGCACCACCAGAGCTCCTCAAAAACTCTATGCCAAAAGTATATATATTCTTAGAATTTATTTTGATGATGCTACATTTAGGGGAAAATGTGATTAAGCAGCTGGAGTAATGAAATGATGGCACCCTATGTGCTCGCTGTCTAATACTAGGGAAGCATCACCGACATGCATTGAAAGACAATTGGATTAGAGACTATGTTGATGTAATTTATCATCTAAGAGAAAAACTTTGGGTATTTTATAACACCAAAACAAGTGTTTTATAGTTTTTCGTGACATTTTAAAGTTGTTAAGATTTACATGTGAGCGAGAAACAATATTGGTATTATTTGACTAAAGACCTTAAAGGTAAACTTTAAATTTTTCCAGAGCCATATGGCTGGCTTTCTATTCAAGGACATGAGGAATCACACACTTAGAGATACAGAGTGTTTGCCTCTCAGGGAGTTTACATTTAACCCCCTCACTCAAAGAGCACACGTATATGAGGTAGATGAAAATAATACACAGCAAGCCAAGGAAACAATACTGTCAAATTGAGTAAACTTTGTTTTCCCCCTAATATAGTCTATACCTTTTAAAATTTAGGAATTTGAACCTTTGCTTTAAAAAATAGACTGCACCACGAAAAAAACGAACTTTTTCACAATAAAAGTTTTATTCTTTTAATAAACGATCATTTACTGTTTGACACTTAAAGCTCTTTATTTCATACATTAATGTAAAACTTCAGGCTTACGAAAACTTCAGTTATGTCAAATTGGTTCTCCATTAATACCCCTTTTGGGCTTCTCATCTTTATTACATATTCTTAATAGCACAAACTTTTTATTAATCATTTTACTGGGGGCCTCTTATAGCTCTTAGAACAATCCATAATTCAGTTGTATTAAGCACATTCGGACTTATGTTGCCATCATAATTTCCAAAATATTTTCTTTCTACTTGAGCCCTTGGTAGTAGCTCCTTTCCCCCATCATCCACCCTCATGAATCCTTGATCAATTATATATTATTATTATTTCATATCTTACACCATCCGTTGTCTCCCTACACTCACAGTTCTATTAAAAATTATGGAACGCTTCACAAATTTCCGTGCCATCCTTACGCAGGGACCATGCTAATATTCTCTGTATCGTTCTAATTTTAGTATAGGTGCTGTCGATGCGAGCACAACAGCACAACTTTTGTTGTGATAAAAATAATCCCACTTATTACCAGACTGAACTATATGTATTTATATATGTCCTTTAACTGTGGTACAAAAGTCTATACATTTTAATTATAATGGATATTTATTAACTCCATTTTTAAGACAAAAGGATTACCTAAAATTCTTAGAAATTAAGTAGAAAGGTATTGCTACTAGGGCTCTACTTGCCCAGGTCCATTCCAAACAGAACCTGTTGAAGCATGTCTCTGTGGCCAGTGTGTGACTGCCAACCTGGGTCTCAGTAACACACTTTATCTTGTTAGGATGCCTTCTAAACAAAAGCGCTGAGGGGAAGACATTTTATACAGAACACTGCCACTGGTTTTCTCAGGGTCTCATTCGTTTTTCACTCAGAACACAGTGGAGCTTGGAAGGTGGTTTATTTTTTCCATCCCCAGAGTTTTGGGCCTCTGGTGATCCTGAGCTCTTTGAAAGCAGAATCCTCCTCCAGGACTAACCCTGAGACCCACGAAGTAGATTGACTTCCAATGGGTGCCAAAACAGGGAGAAAGAGAAAACAAATCTAGACCAAGTAAAAATTAAAGTATCTTACTAATTAAAACAAGCCAGTAATTAAGTTTGGTTGAACCTCAGACACAGCAAAACAGAGTCTCAGAGATCCAAAAGTTACACAGGCAGCTGCTAACATCTGTTGGAAAAAAACCAAACCCACTGCCATGGAGTCAATGCCAGCTCAGAGCGACTCCCCTGTGGGTTTCTGAGACCTTACTGTTCCCAAAGAGAGTTCAGAGGAGAGTTCAAATCACTCTGCTGGAGCCAAAGTACAATTTCCCAGATTCCAGGAGCGGCCAGAGGGAGCTGCCCTCAGATCTCCCTTCTAACACCAAAATTGTAGGGAAAAAAAACGAAACTAAAATTCTATTCAAAATAAAATCGAGTTTTACTAATGGCAGAAAGAACATTTTGCAAAACAGAGAAAGACAATGCCCGTAAAATCTGGTAAAGTGTCCCCAGAGCGGTGCACTTACAAATGTTAGGGAGCTAGCTTAGGGTCAGGGGGTTATCCCTCCCATGCCTGCAAAGGCCCCCATAGAGGAGGTTGGAAAGAAATCAGGCAGCCATTGAATACCTATGAAGACCCCAAACTGAGCATGCTCTGTATTCAAGCCCTTGAGCCAGGTGGGAGGTACACAGGGCAGGCCAAACTAGGCCCAGGCTCATGACATCATCACGTAGGTGGGCCTAACTCAGTCAATGGGGTCACCCAATACCATCAACCACGCTTTCCCCCAGCCAGGGGGTGGGCTAGAATAAAGGCAGGGAACACGCTCCTGCTCAGAGGCTGGTAGAGGGGGAGGGTCGTCTCCCTCCCGTATGTTGGTGCACATGTGGGCCTACATGACTGAGTTGTGGCCCACATGTTCTTAGCCCCTAGGGTTCTTGGGCATCTGGCCTCCCAGGATCCCCCCAGTTCTACATGTTTGGGTGCTCTTTACCACGTGGCTGGGCACAGTTGTGAACCCCCTTTGAGACTGTAAAACCTGAAACTTGTCCTGTTCATAAAATCCCACTTGAATTACAATTCTTTCATCGTGCAAAGCCAAGAAGTGAGGCATTACTGACTCCAGAAACCTAACACAAAAGCTTATAAAAACAGTGGAAGAACCAAAGGACGAGACCCATTGCCATCAAATCTATTCTGTCTCATAGGGTATAGCTGAAATCTTGTGATTGGTCTTGTTTAGAGTGTGGGGGTTGTAGAACAGGTTTATAGAAAAATACAGGGCTTTATAAGGTCCCAAGCACAGGTTAAGAAAAATAAAAAAATCCCTGCTCGGTTTAAAGGGCTAGTTTCTGAGCACCTGTCAAAGGTTAGAGCCCTCTGATTTGACACCTGTACATACCAGGAGCCTGACAGAACCACATTCTAAACCTTTCCCTTCTAATCGTTTGTAAAACTTTACAATGCTTTTGTAAAACTTTCCATCTTATCTCAGATGAAGTCTCAAGAGTAAGAAAAAGGAATTTTGACCTATTGTTGAACTTGACCTACAGTCCAGTTTTGAGCCCTAGTCCTGTCAAGTATTTACCTTAAAACAAAACAAAACAAAAAAAACACATGCCTTTCTATCAAGGTGCCTGGGGATGGATTTCAACTGACAGCTTGACACTCCCTCCCCCAACACCAGCACCACCAGGGACTTGTCGAAGAGTGCTCAAAACAAAACAAGAACCCAGTTGCTGTGGAGTTGACTGGACTCAGGGTGCCCCTGTGCGACAATGCAGAACTACGTCAGAGCCCCAGTGCCCTTTGCGGACCTCGGTCCACGGGATAGTGTGCAACAGCCAGCTGTTGGATCAACAGAGCAGCACAGGCGGCCCTCGCCTCCCAGGAACTTTATAAGGACCAAACTCAGAAATCAACTTACGGCCATCAAGTCGATTCCAACTCAGTGACCCTAGAGCAGCCGTTCTCAACCTGTGGGTTGTGACCCCTGTGGGGGTCAAACGACCCTTTCACAGGGGCCACCCAATTCATAACAGTAGCAAAATGACAGTGATGAAGTAGCAACGAAAATAATTTTATGGTTGGGGTCACCACCACATGAGGAACTGTATCAAAGGGTCGGGGCATGAGGATGGTTGAGAACCGCTGCCCTAGAGGAAAGATAAGGTCTGTTAAGTAGCACTAAGGGAGTAAAAAGCCTCATCATTTTCCAGTGGAGCACCTGATGGCTTTGAACTGCTGACTTTATGGTTAGCAGGCCAACAGGTAACTCACTACATCACGAGAATCAGCCTGGAGAGGGGAGCATTCTGCTTAACGCACTGACCCAAAGTCCCCCTCTAGTACGAGTGTTGTGCCCCTGAAATGTCATTTACACAGACTATTGGCTTAATCCAGGGATCAACCCCCGCAACTTTTTACAAAACATAATTTTATCGGGGGCTCTTACAGCTCTTTTAACATTCCAAGTGTATCAAACATATTTGTACATATGTTGCCATCATCATTTCTAGAACATTTTCTACTTGAGCCCTTGGTATAAGCTCTTTTTTCCCTCCCTCCCCAACCTCCCAGCCCCCATGTACCCTTGATCAAGTATATATTGTTATTGTTATTTCATTTCTTTTTTTTTTAAGAACCCATGGGGGCAGTATTATTTTGTATCTTACACTGTCCCTTGTCTCCCTTCACCCACATCTGTTATTCATCCCCTTCAGGGGAGCTATATATCCAGTCTTGTGATGGATCCCCCCTTTCTCTCCCTTCGCCCTCTCTGACCATCCCCCTACCCTCCTGATATCGCTACTCCCATTACTGTTCCTGACCTGGATTCCACGTGTTGAGAGCTCTTATCTGTACCAATGTGTGCTCTCTGTCTAGCCTGATTTGTAAATTGGAACTGGGTCATGGTAGTGGTGGAGGGTGGGGTGAGAAGGAAGTATTCAGGAACGAAAAGAATGATGTGTGATTCATCGGTGCTACACTAAACCTTGGCTGAATCATCTCTTCCTTATACCACTTCTTTGGAGGAGATATCAAATTAACTATAGATGGGCTTTGGGTCTCCACTCCAGCCCCTTTCTTTTGCATCAATATAGTTGTTTGTTTTGGATACCTGATGCCTGATTGCATCAACATCTCATGATCACACAGGCTGGCGTGCTTCTTCCATGTGGGTTAATCTGCTTCCCTGTTAGATGGCCATTTATTTGACTTCAAGCCTTTAAGACCCCAGACACTGTATCTTTTGATAGCCGGGCACCATCTGCTCTCTCGACCACATTTGCTTATGCACCCCTTTTGTCTTCAGCGATCTCATGTAGGGAAGGTATCAAAAAGTGCCAGGTTATCAGAACAAAGTGCTTTCTGTTAAGGGAGGCCTTGAGTAGAGGCCCAAAGTCTGTCTACTATCTTAATAATTATCATATAAACATGTACATTGGCCTCTATCACTTTCATTATAAATTAATATATTTACTTATATACATTCCTCTATACCTCTAAATAGTTTTTGTCTCTATTTCTTTCCTCTATTTCCTTTCACCTTCATCCTATCCCACTATCATGCTCACCCTCCATTTGGTACTTCCTCTCAGATACATTGCTCTTGATCAAGCCCCACCTGGCATTATACACCCTCTTCACCATCCATTTTAGACCTCTTATCTCTGTGTTTGTTGGCCCCCTCCACTCCTATGTTCTCCCAGAACCGCTGGTCTGTAGTTTTCTCCTCGGGGATTGTTAGTCCTGCCTATCTTATATACCGTAGATAGACATAGGGCGAAAGAAAATAAAAAATAACCAAAACTAAAACATAACAGAGCAAAGTAACAAAACAAAACAGAACAGGAGGGAAACACCCTCCAAACCAATAAACAGTTCTAGGTCTGTCTGCTGACTCTTCTGTATGTTTTCCAATAGAGTCTGATGAGGTGCAAAGCCCTGACCCCCAAGTCAGAAGTATTTTCAGGGTTCCTCGGGGACTTGGTTACTTTGCTCCCCTTGCTGCCCAGTTGTTCTCCCTTCGAGTTTCACCCCACTGTGCATGGGGCAGACCGAGCACACTTTCTGCACAATGTCTCCAGTGCTGTCCCATGTAGCACTATGGGTCTAAGGTCCCAAGGCGGACCAAACCCCTTTCGTGAGGGGCCTTTCTCTCAATAGTACTGGCTTTGTTCTACGGCCACGCCCCTTGAGCAAGAGGACCGCCCTCCAGGGCTTCTGGGCCAGA